ATATATATATATATAAAAATTGGATCAGTGTGCTCTGTAAAGATTACAACTATTAAAGAGTCCCGTCTGCAGCGTAATGGGTAATTTTGGGTTAAAAATAAAAGCATCTACATTTTCATTTTGACTACTTTATTCACAGACAGAGTTCATCAGCAGACAAAATATACAGATCAAAGTTGGTTTTGTTTAACTAACATACCATATTAATATGCTCCCTTTCAGTAGTATTGACTTTAGTCCAGTCTCTGACTCTGAACTAAGGCTTTAAACATTGTTTTACAAAACATTCTAACAGTGCTGCTTTTCTCTTATAGATTACACATGCAAGGGGAAACAAAGACATTTCAAAAAGGATTCACAAAGGCATTGATGAAGAGCAAAAAGTGCAAAAAAAAAAAAAAAAAACTCCTATGGCAATAAAAAAAGAAGCTGATGACAAATGGGAGCATCAAAAATGGTTTCAGTTACGATGGAGTATTGCACAAAAAAGTGAATGCAGTCTAATGCCCAATGCGACTTTCTCTAACTTCTACTGTGACTATGCTTTTTAAGAAGAAAATGAAAAGCAGAAAGGGGAGCAATGAAGCAACAGTCAGGCAAGAAGATAAAGACGCAAGCAAGCAACTAGTCATTAGCAGTTATATGTTTACATTACAGAGAACATGAGAAAACAACGTAATAATTTCAATCTATGGATAATGTTTGCTCTGGAAAGCAAGGCTTCATGCTTTGCACAGATGCCTGTTAGTAGAACTAGGAGACACAAAGTAACCCCCAGGGCAGGAGAAAAAACAAAAGTACAGTGACCTTGACAACACATGGAGACAGTCACCTCCCCCAACGACAGTAACCATCATACAAATCCCCAGAGGAAGAGGAGAGGTCTTTAAATTATAATTCATTATTGGCTAAAGGACATTGCTACAAGGAAAATCCTGTGATAGAACCAACAGCTTGTATTGCATCACACATTGGAAATAGAAAAACAGACAGGTTGTGAAATAAAAAGAACGTCTTTTACAAAGGACATCAAACCAAAATCACACGTAAAGTGCAACTCAGACATGATCAGGTCCACAGGAGGATGCTACAGTGGCTGGGGTAGGGAGATGTGCCTTTGGGTGGGTGGGGTGACAAGGATGACCGTCGTGTTCACGCTTCGTCGCAGATAACCGTCTCCACCACAAATGTATTCTCAAAGTGACGGATATGGTGGCAGTCCTTCGCCTCGCGCTTGTTGATGCCTGAGAGAGAAATAGGGCGAGACACAGAGAGGGCGATCCATGATGTAAACTTTGTTTGGTGCGTGCTGTGGTGGTCTCATCGCCACAGTTTAAAACAATAAAACTCAAATAAAAACAAAGACCAAACATTTTCCTCCCCATTTGTTTCTTTTTCCAATGTTTCCACTGATCCCTCCATTAACCCCAACTTACGTCTGCGGGTGACACGGCGGTTCAGGCGGTACGTGTCCTTTCCATTACACAGGCGGTAGATGAAGGGTCCCAGCTGACGCATGTTGTGCACTTTGCCAGTCACCACCATCTCTTCATGGATGATGTAGGTCTGAGGCAAGTATGTTCCCTTCTGCAAGAGGCAGGGGTACAACAACAACAAGCTCACAGGGCTTTGTTTTCCAACAAAACACTAAAGGGCTGAGCAGTCTAAAAACAGACATTGGGTGTCTGCACACACGGACGTGTCCACACAATAACTTGACAGTGCTGACCTTTGAGGAAACAGAGTCCAAAATGAAGGAAGCTATCGTAACTTAGTAGCCATGTTGCTCCAGCTACTTTTATACTACTACTTTTTATACTTTTTTATTACTATGATAGCACGATAGCTGTTAGCTTGATAGCTACTTTAGTTCAGCAACTATCTCTGCGAGTCACCATGACTCTAGCACCATCTATTTTGAAAATACACTTGAATGAATTTCACGTCTTCTCTCCTGAGACCAGAGTTTAGTGTTTGCTTTAGTGTTTTTTTTGTTACGTTTAACTGAAGCATTGGTAAAGTCAAACAGTTCATGGCATTTAGGAGGAGCGAAGACTAAAAGTAAAGCCATTTATTTCGAAGAATTCAAGAGAAATGTTACCTTCACATTGATTAGAAGCTCCCAAAGGTTGCGTGGAGGCATCACGATGGTGGTGTTGAGCTCAATAACGTAGCACTTGTCCAGAGCAATGTCATGGTAGGCAGTCAGTCCCTGGAAAATAAAGCAGTTTATTAAAGACCAACTTTAAAGACCAGTGCTTAGGGATTTTTTGTGCAGGTTTCAATCCTTACAATCTGTTTGCAGTTTGTTATTGTAACATTTGAATTATTTCAGCAGTGTTAGCACTGGAGCTCTAGCAAAGTGACATCTGCTTGTCCGTCCAAATATACCTGAACAAATATTGAATTATTGCCATTAAGATCTAGTACAGACATGCATGGTTGCCAGATATCCATTGTCTTTTCATTTAGCATCAACATCATCACAATTTCAATTTGTCCAATATTTCAGTTCACGACCAAATACCTGAAAAGCAAATAACAATCCTGACATTGTGCTAATTAGCAAATGTTAGCATGCAATTACGTTCCACTAGGATAGTGATCCATTACACCTGCTTAACATCAGCATGTTAGCTTGCTGACATTAGCATTAAGCTCAAAGCACTGCTGTGCTAAGTACAGCCTCACAGAGCCGTTAGCATGGCTGTATGTGAAGATTCAAATCGCGAGAAGAATGTGATATCAAGGCATCCGTTTTACTGCATTGTTGTGTAGAGTTTATATCCTACCTCAGAAATAAAAA